TAACAAAAACTTTTCGGCAGTATGTTAAATGTAATAGTAACACTATCCAGCTCAAGAAACAGTAAAAAAAGTATGTTATGCAAGTTAAATACACTGATTTTTAGGTGTTACTGTAACACTATTTCAAAGTATGCTTTAGTTTTGAAAGTATAACGTGAGATAATTCAAATAAAAATTCGATTGTTTGTTATAGACTGTTACCATTCATTGTATAATGACATTTCATACATGTTGAAAAATTATTCTAAGCTGATTGTTGTACATTATGGTTGTTTTGCGTTTATAAACTAAGTTGTGTATATTCATTTGTGTGTGTGTGTGGACAATATTGTATATATATTGTGCTTATTATCGTTGTTGACATGTGTCGAAATAAAAACTCTTATCTAAATTTGGATCCCACAAAGATAATAATGATATGATTGTTCATGAATTTATTGTAAAACGTTTTCATGTAAATACGTCCTTAATAGATGAATCATTTTATGTAGATCACATTGCAAAATATTTATATTGAGAAAATTAATAAAGTGTTAAAAGAAATATTGTGTCCAGAATTTTTTATTATTAACATGTTACCGAAAATTTTTCAAATAATCACTTAATTTATGATTAAAGAGGCAAACTAATGAAACACAAAATTTAAAATTATTGCATGGTATTTAAATAAGCATCCTTTTTCAGGTCGATTTACATATAAGTGGTCAGGAAATGTAGTTGAATATAGAATTAATTATTTAATCTTTTAAACCGATTATATTAAATCTAACCACGTTGAGACAGGTTGATACATGTCGTGGACGTCATTCTTTCTGATGTCATGGCGGCCTAGCAACGCACCCTCTCTGGTGACATATTTTTTCTACCCCTTCATTCCCCTCTCCCTATTGCATGGTGACCCCCTACTGAGGTGGCATACTTTGAGTAGTAAAGTACAGCATAACTGCTTCTGGTATTTTTCAGATTTCCTTGATTTCTCTGAGGAACTGCAAAAACAGGAGGATTCATCAGATGCTGTATTAAAGAGTATTTCCACTGCCTTTGACTGAGTTTTTGCATAAAAGAGAGAGACTAAACATAGGTTTCTAAACAATTACAATCATCATTAAAATCATAATCATCTACTTGAACAAGTGCTTGTATGATTGACTATTATTACACTTTCTCACCAATATTACTCTATTCACTAATTCTAGAGCAAAAGTCTGTGATAAACACCATCCCAAGATTGACAAAAACATATTGTTACGTCTCCGTTTGTTAATTGTATTTTCCGTAACTTCGTTCCGACGTAATTTAACGACACAAGTCTTTACTTAATAAACTGGTTTATTCTTTCCGATATAACTTTACCGTATAC